AACCACATCAAAGGATGTCTTACTGATATTGTAATATATTCTATGATGCTTTGTGTTGCTCTGTACTCCTTATTCCTAATCCCGGTCTTTGCCTACAAGTGAAAATCATCACACACTAAATATATACTTAGTGAGTCAATCATCAATAATAAACAATGCAATACATCAGTAATATGTAATCATAAATCATAGTCAAATGTAGCATGATCACTTACCTGCATAACCATTTAGTTATTGTTAAAAGAAAACATAATAATGATGCAATAATAAATATTTTCAATAAATCATAGCCCAAAATGTAGATTTTGAGGACCCTATGTAAACGAGTCGAATATATTAAGATATGCACCTTAGTGTTAGCTTGAGTATGACACATAAGGTCGTGTCCACCTTCTGTACTAGGTATACTTAAGTACAGTCTCGACTGTAACACATAAGATTATGTCCACTATATACACTAATTATACTTTAATGTAATCCCAAATATGCAGGTAACTGCTGGACTCTATCGCATGCCATTTATACACTATCCCCAATAACTCACTTGGGCCTGTAGGCTATTCTTGATTCATCCATAACAATGTATCTATATCATTCAACATCTGGGCAACTCATACCCAAATTAACGTTCATATATATATATATATCCATAATTAATAAATGCATTTGCTATATAACCATTGACATATTCCAACATGTCAAATACATGATAAATGACATAAATATTTTGCTAATGCATTTAAGGTAACTCATCTAAAGTTTTTCTGATGATGTATAGACATCCATGATTGTCATACATGTATTGCACTCACCTTGACACTTCATATAATGCAAAATATTTGCCTCACTATGCTCATAACTTAATCCTTTTATACTCAATTCGTTTCGAACACACAATCAATCATGATCTGTACAAAATTACAAATTGATATCGATACATATGTTAGTATTATACTAACATAAATATATTTCTAAAACAAAATCCATAATTATACTTGAAACTTGTTCACTATCAAAATATTTCAACACTTAGTAATTCTTTTACTTTTTGCACAAACTTTTCCAACTTATATAAAATGGTCTTTCACCATTTTACCACTTAAACTTTCAATACCAAAATTCCAGCATTGAAATTATTACCAACCAAGAACATTTACAAAGGCATAATTACAAATAAATACCCCAAACTATTCGAATAAGGCATAAAAATCACTAAACTTTCCAAACTTCCAAAATGATCAAATTTCACATTCTAACACTCATTTCAATTACCAAACGGAAATTTCCATCTATCACAATTACACATCCAACAACAATATTTCCAAAATTACCAAATTAGTCCCCTAACTTTTAATAAATTACCAAATGATCCCAAAATTTTTATAAGGCTTGTATAATACTTCCTATATCATTTCCAAACCTTATATATTTTTCCATAATTGTTTTGATCAAAACAAGCCATGACTGAATCATTTAAAGTTATAAAATTAGGGTTTTCATGATTTTGTTCGATTTTGATTTGATTCAAGCATGAAATCAACTTTCATCCAACCTTACAAAATATCTACAATCAAAGCCCTATTAAAATTTCATAAAAACACAAAGTTCCATAACTCTATGATTTGGCTAAATCTTAAAGAACAATTTATAGGAAGATTGAACATGTTTTAATCATGAAACAAGCTTGAACATGAATCTACAACCTCAAAAACATCAAGATTCATCATCAATTTCATAAACCCTAATGTGAACACAAACCCTATAATTTGGGATCTTTGAAATAAAGTAAGATTAACAAGCATAAATGGTACCAAAAAATAGTATTTTTCACGTAGAACAATTTTATATTTCACGGCATAACTCAAAATCAAAAAGAAAATTGCTCAAAAATTGAAAAGAAATTTTCTGTCACCTTTAGGAGGAACTCACGGCTTGGGAAGGAAAAATACGAACAGGTTTCATCAAATGTGAGGTAAATTTCATGTTAATTTACCTTTAATTTAGCTTAAATGAATATTTTATTCCTTTAATTGAGAAAAGACCAAATTACCCTTAATGAAGCTTCATATTTACCATAAAACCAAAACACCTCAACCTTATCATCTTCCAAATTTCAAAGATGAACAAATTATTTCATTTTTTTTACCGTTTTGCCCTTGTAATTTCCCAAATATTATAATCTTGCCATTTTAATCCAACTATCCAAAATTAACATGGAATTAAATCCTCAAATAAAATGGTTTATATTATTTTCCATCTTTTTAAAATAAGGAAAAAATATTTTTAAGACTAACATATCATCCTTCAAATTTTCTCGAAATTTCTATTCGATTTGATTTACTGATTTCTTTCCAGACTTTACCTCTTTCTAGTTTTCAACATAAATTTTGGATCAAGAATATAATTTCAAAAAAAACCCACTTTTAATAATAAACTATCCATTTATGGAATAAAAAATATTTTTGGGAAAATTACCTCTTAGGTCCCTGAACTTTTCTTACTTTTATACTTTGGCCAGTAAACTTTCAAATATTACATTTTAGTCACTAGCCAAAATTTGTGGTATTACATAAACAATTTTCTCAGAACTTCGATATGTTCTTCTTTGGTTTATGATTTGACAATTATATCATCCACGTATATCTCTATTTCTTTTTGCTTCATATCATGGAACAAGGTAACCATGGTTCGTTGATATGTTGTGCCCCTGCATTATTTAATATGAATGGTATCACCTTATAGAAAATTGTGCCCAAAGTTGTCACAAATGTTGTCTTCTCTGTAACTTTATTATCCATCATGATTTGGTTGTTCCCTAAAAAGCCATCCATGAAGGAGAAAAAAGCGTGCACAGTTGTATTTTCATTCAGGGTGTCAATATGAGGGAGTGAGAAATTATCTTTTGGACTTGTATGATTGAGATCTCTATAGTTTATAAACTTATAAAAGTAATAAATTTTCTATCCTTTTACCCATAATTATTACTAGATTTAGGTTTGATCTAGCTACTTATTAGTTATTCATGCATGATTTCATAGTTTCCTTCACACTTAAGTTTGATATTTCATTGGGTTGGTTTTTGTGGAAAACATACTACTGGTGTGTGTTAATTTGTGCAGATTAGGAATTTCCCTAGCAAGTATAAAATTCCATGGCATTTGAAGATAATCATTGAACAAAGGGATAAATCCTAAAATGTTGGGATATTCACGCATAAATTAACGAAGAGAATAACTCTTATTTGCAAATGTTTTAAAAATAAATATAAAAGAGATTTAATTCCTCTTTTATTAAAAGAGATTATTTCCTCTTTTATTAGAAGAGATTTATTAGCTCTTTTAGTCCAATTAAAACTCTCCTTCAACAGGAATCAAAAAAACCTAATCCTCTCATATAAAAGAAGACCAATACACAACAAAAGAGGGGGTGCACAAGAGAGAGAGAAAACTAGCACATATCCTATTCTTGTTTTCTTTTTATTGTTATTTTAATGTTGTTGAGAAATATTTATCTTGTAATCTTTTCGAACCTAGCCAGGAACTAATTTTAATTGGCTTGGGTTATTGGTTTTTTTTTGTGTTTGTGAAAACTCTTGGATATGTTTAAGTTCCTGATTACAATTTGAATTCAAAGTTTGTTCATTCTTGGTTCTTTAATTAATTTCAAGTGAATTAGGATAGGATATTGAGAATTATCCATTTATCTAATATCGGGAGAGTTATATTCAATAAACAAATGAGGATGATCATCATTTGAGCGAACGTTGGTGAAGGTTAATCCATCTTAGGGATAAGATTCAGATTTCAATGGCTAAAAGGAGCGTAAGATCAGTTCTTGTTTACCCATGGTTAATGCAAATATGTATCACCACGACATGAACAATTGACCAGTTCTTTGGGTTAGGGATAACAAGAAGGCATTGAAGAACGTTTTGTCAACCTTTGAAGGAGGAAACTTGGTTCCTATGGCAATTGAATCATTTTTAGTTGTCAAGGAAATCGAGTTGCCTTGACAATCAATTACTCAAACTATCCAAACCCTTGTCACACGACACTTCCTGATAACCTGACCTACTCTTTTACTTGATATAATTATAATTTTATTTACATGCTCATTTTTTTATTTGTTTATTCACACTCCTATTGTTACCAATTTATTTCTTTTTACAATGCAAGAAGTTAGAATATAGAGTTTCACTAATCCCTGCAGAGACAATATTTTTTCTATATTACAAGTTGCGACGTGTACACTTGCACCAATTGTAAAGCACTTAAATCACGCAACAAGTTTTTGGTCCCATTGCTAGGGATTGACAATAGCGAATTTGATTTTTTATTTCTTGCACCTTAATTATTAGTATAATTTATTATTTTGGTTTTTCTTTCTTTTTGGATTTAAGGGGCTTATAATTTGTGGTTTTCCATCTGTGTATGACTAGGTCGAGACCAACATCACTATAATATCCATTTGAACCCGAAATCTAGTGAGCTTTTCATAGAAGAACGAAAATGCAATGAGAAACAATGGGAGACCAACTCGTTGATCTAATTAGAAACCCTAATGTTATTGGCAACCAAATAGACAAAGCAAGGGGAGGACGAGCTTTAATAAACCAACCTGTTCAAGTAAGGAGCAGGTCGATTAGAGACTACTTAAAAGAAGATCTCAACGGTCTCAATCCAGGAGTTGTCACACCTGAAATAGAAGTCGCCTACTTCGAATTAAAACTAGTAATGTTCAACATGATCAACATACTTGGTCAATTTGGTAGATCATCAACAGAAGATGCCAAACAACATCTCAAATAATTCCTTGAAATTTACAATTCATTATAGCAACAAGGATTCCATGAGGATGTCCTAATGCTGAAATTATTCCCCTATTCACTTAGGGATAGGGCAAAATCATTGTGTAATAGTATCGCACCTGGATCTCTAGAATTCTGGATGGACTTATACCATGATTTCCTTACTAGATTTAGTTCTATAAATATGATTGATAAATTGCATAACGATATAATTTATTTTCCGCAGGCAAATGATGAGTCCATGTATGAAGCTTGGGAGTGATACAATGAGCTTTTACAAAAATATCCCATAAACATATTTACAATATGGATGCAAGTGGTGATGTTTTACAATTTAGAGAATACACCAACTAGAATGATACTAGATGATTCGATGAATGACATATTCCTTGAAAAGTCACCGGAGGAAGTAATAGAGATTCTAAATAGTCTTACCAAGAATGATAATTATTTTCCAAATACAAGAAGACGAGAAGTCAGACGGAATACCATGATAAATGAGCTTGATTCAACGGACACTTTCTCTGCACAGTTGGCTACTTTAACCAACTTGGTTAAGAATATGCATCGGCCAAACAATCCATAAAAGATCAAGGTAGTGAATTCCTTTTACGAATTATGTAATGGTAACCATGCTTATTTTGATTGCCCATAGAACTCAGAATCTATCTTCTATATAATAAATTAACTGGAATAACAACTTGATGATCATTACATACACACCATGCTGGAGGGATAAGCCTAATTTCTCATAGAGCAACCTGAAAAATGCCCTAAATCAAAAATAATCAGAATTCATAAGCATCAGGGTTCGAACAAAATATTCCAAGTTAACAGATACCGCAGAAGTAATCAATACCGTCTAGTTCTTTTGAAAATACTCTCAAATATTTTATGTTAAAAATTGAATCTTACATGGTTGAGAATAATATTTTCATGAAAACAATTTACGCTTTCATTAGAAGAACTAATATGAGACTACATAACCAAGAGTTAACTTTGAAATCCTTAGAGACACAGGTTGGACAACATGCCCATAATTTGAACACAAGATCACCAGGTGATATTGAGGTTACAAAGGGATTAGGCCTTGAGCAGTGTAAGGTAATCACCATCCGAAGTGGATAAAAGTTATTCGAAACCCATTCACAACCCACTGTGAGACCTCAACCAACAAAACATACCCATGTTTAGAAAGACTCCTCCAACAACATCGCATCAGTCGATATTGATAAATCGAAGTATGCCCAGGCAAGTTCACGTGCCTCGGTAATTCCAGATACAATGGTAAATCAAACAATCATATCAACTTGCCGTTGGTTGAGGCAATTAAGCAAATGCTGAACTATGCTAAGTTCCTTAAAGACGTTGTCTCTAAGAGAACGAGGATAAGATATTTTAAAATAATTGTTATGACTGAGGGATGTATGACCATGTTGCACAACCAAATTCTATCCAAACTAAAATGTCCCAGTAGCTTCACAATACCATGTGCAATAAAAAATCACTATGTTGGAAAGGCATTAAGCAATCTTGGAGCGAGTATAAATCTTTTACCTAAATACGTATTCCGAAGATTGGGTATCAGGAAGGTGAAACCTACGACAATTATGCTACAACAATTATGCTACAACTTGGAAGTAGATCCTATGTGCAACCAGAGGGAAAAATTGAAGATATACTGGTAAAAGTTGATAAATTTAATTTTATCATTGACGTCATTGTCCTAGATTATAAAGTAGATGAGTTCACACCTATTATCCTTGGAAGACCATTCCTAGTAATAGGAAGAACCTCAATTGATGTTGAAAGAGGAGAACTCACTATGAGAGTGAATGACCTATAAGTTAAGCTGAATGTTTTTCCAAACTTTAAACATGTTGATGATCCAGAAGAATGCCAAGTCATTCATGCCACCAACGAATTCAATCTTGAAGTAGAGGAGAATTGCGACAACAATTTTATTGCCAAACTAGAGGAAATTAAAGAATCGAATGATGGAAAACAAGATGAAGCAAACCGGATATTAAGTCAATCAGGTAAATATTTTGAACCATTAGACTATTAAACTAAGGAAGGTAAACTCGAAAAATCTTATATTGGGCAACCTCCCATGCTAGAATTGAAATCATTGTCAGGCAATTAGAACTACCTTTTAATTCTCGACTAAATTTTTTCGAGAAAATGGAAATCGAGATGTTCAGGGGTATTCGAGGCAGCAAAACCTTTCTTCCATGGTGTCAGTCTAGTATCGATGGACATGAGCTTGAAGTCAATGGACAATGATTTAAGCACTACACCGGTGCCCATGTTGAGCGCGATAAGGAAATGGTTACTTATGGAGAAGCATGAATATGCTCTCTTCAATATTTTTATTTGTTTTAAATTTTTTTTCTTTTTCTTTTCATTGTTATTTTTTATTTATTTAGATTTTTTTTATTCAATTGAATTCTTATTTATTTTATACTCTTTTTGTTTATCTTTTTGTTTTGTTTGAATTTTATAATACAAGAATCCATGGACATAAAATCTAAAAGTGTGGTTCACCCAAGCGATGAAATTAAGGACAGAGGATTCCGAGCGCACCACCAACAACATGCTACCAACCACCGTGGGCCAGTAAGAGAGATATCAAACAAAGAACTTGAAGGATGCTCATCAGTCAAGATGATAACCTTTTTAACTCATTTTGCATGTATTGAAGACAATGCTCATCTCGAGTTTGGGGGAGTTGTTCGTGTTGTCATATTACATATATTATTTCATGTTTTGTGTTTTGTATTGTTTGCATCATTCATTCAGGCTTTTCATGACATTTTCTTTTCATAACATCTAGACAAACAAACAATTATCGAGACTTTGTACATACCTATGATGAAATAATTACCGATAACATTTTAATGCCGATAATCTTAAGACTTAGAGATAATTTGAAATTGCCTTAATGATTCTTACGATGCTTAAACTGTTTACCAAATGTCGTGTTTGGTTGACTTGTGGGTATTTTGGTGAATACTTAACTATCCTGTATGTTTTTGTTTAAGTTCTATGTGAATTGCTAGAGGTGCCCAACTGGATCTAGCCGAATAAATTGCCACAACAACTTTTAGCTATAGAACACTCTGTTGCTAAAGCAAATTTGGTATGCTTAGTGAATACTAAGTAGCAAAGATAGTCCTGAATATAACATGAGTGAATGAAAGTCTTTACGTGATGACTCTATCTAAAAGGTTAGGGGCTTCGTTGTTGACATCATCTTACTACTCAAGTACTTGTAGGTAGTTGTGATAAGATGAAGATCTAGTTAAGCTAATTAATTGAAGTAGCATCTTTTGCCTTATTAATTAATTTGATAATTATAATATTCTCCACAAATACCCATGGTGGTGAACCTTATTGACTAAGAGCACACACTTGCATGAGTATCATAGGTTGAATTGAGTTAATTTCTTGTTGTCTTGAGGTTTAAGGGTGATTGGTAGAAATTTACTAAGGATTTGAGGTAACAATTGTAAAGAAAAGGTAAGAGTAATGTTGTCTAATTGATGTTAAAAAATAGATGTCATGCATGCTTGAGTAGAATCAATAGTTTGAGTTTGGGGTGTGTTAAGTATATAAAAGTACCAAATTTTCTACAATTTTACCCATAATTATTGCTAGATTTAGGTTCATTCTAGTTGTATTATTAGTCATTCATTCATAATTTCATAGTTTCCTTTATAGTTAAGTTGGATAATGCTTTTTGGTTGGTTTTTGTGGAAAAGATACTGCTGGTGTGTGTTAATTTATGCATATTAGGAATTTCCCTAGCAAAAAGAAAATTATGTGGCATTTGAAGATAATCATGGCATAAGGGGATAAATCCTAAAAAGATGGGATATTCACGCAGAAATTAAGAAGGGAAAGAAGTCTTATTTGCAAAGTATTTGGAGATAAAGATAAAGGAGTATAATTCCACTTTTATTAAAAGAGGTTATTTCCTCTTTTATTATAAGATATTTATAAGCTCTTTTAGTCCAATTAAAACACTCGTTCAACAAGAATCAAAGAAACCTAATCATCTCTTATAAAAGAAGACCAAGACACAATAATAGAGGGATGCGCATAAGAGCGAAAGAAACTAGTGCATATAATTTTCTTATTTTCTTCTTTATTTTTATTTTCATGTTGTTGGGAAATCTTTATCTCATAATCTTTTTTCACCCAGCCATGAACTAATTTTAATTGGCTTGGGTTATTGGGTTTTGTTGTGGTTGTGAAAACTCTTGGATTTTTTTACGTTTTTTATTTCAGTTTGAATTCAAAGTTTGTTCGTTCAAGGTTCTTTAATTGATTTCGAGTGATTGGGAGAGGATCTTCATAATTATGTGTTTATCTAATATCGGGAGAGTTAGATTCAAGAAAAGAATGAGGATAATATTCATTTGAATGAATGTTGGTGAAGGTTAATCTAACTTAGGGATAAGATTTGGATTTCAATGGCTAAAAGGAGCTTAAGATCGATTGTTGTTCACCCATGTTTAACGCAGGGATGTATCACCATGATATGCACAATTGACCAATCCTTTGGGATAGGGATAACAAGAAGGCATTGAAGAACGCTTTGCCAAGCTTTGAACGAGGAAATCTAGTTCCTACGAAAATTAAATCATTTTCAGTTTTCAAGGCAATCGAGTTGCCTCGACAATCAATTACCCAGACCATTCAAACAGTTGTCACACCGCACTTCCCAATAACTCGGCTTGCTCTCTCACTTGATATCACTATGCTTTTATTTACTTGCTCATTTATTTTATTTTATCTATTCACAATCATACCATTATCAATTTATTTCTTTTTAAAGTACAAGAAGTTAGAATATAGAGTTTCAAGAAATCCCTGTGGAGACGATATATTTTCTATACTGTCGTAAACATCATTCAAGTGGGCCCAGAATAGGGTTTCGACTTGAATTAACGTGTATTGGAGCCACCACCGATAATTTTAAATTAGGTTGATCAGACACCCTAACTGTAGCACCTAAAACCCGTATAATTATACATATACATATTATAAATGTCACAGGAATTTCTTTAAAATAATTTCCCATTCAAAACTGATTTAAAATTTATTCTCTCAAAATGATAACTGATAATATAAAAATATCATATCATATTAACTATCACATACTATTTAAAACATATATTAGTATGTAATTATACTATCCATACTGAAATAAAGTAAACAATTTAGTTTAGTCATTACAACCAAGTTCTAAAATTATTAAACAGAGCAGGTAGGTCATTTATAAGTACATGCC